TACACATATACCAACATGAGACTGATCAATTGTAGTCCTAAATAACAACAACACCAAGTGTATATATCTTTTATCATACTCATATTTGAAACTATAGAAGAGATTAAAAAAACAGCTGAAGATTGGTATAGAATTCATTTCAAATGTGATTAGAGATGTATATAACAATGATATGAACAAACATGAGAAAGAGTTGAAGTAATAAATGATGCAATAAAAAGGATTTGATGTAACTAGGATAAAGATTGTTTACCGTTTCTTTTTAGACACATTATCGTTTTACAAGTTTGGTCTCTATAACTTCGGTATATGTTCAGAAGATTTGAATTCGATTGTTTATTATCTTGAAAGACTTTAGTTTATCCATCTAATATTCTGTAGCATGGAGATGTCTCAAAATGACAATACTGTGTGCTTTTGATTTGAATTTTGGCCTCTTTCTCTGTTCACCAATGTAACTGTTTTAATAGATACATTTGAATCTGTGTACAGCAACTGATTCGAATTGACTGACTACCATTCATATCATTCTTGATTACTATTAATGGGTTTTCAGTTAATTGATTACATAATAATCTAATGTTTGCTAACTCCATGACTTTTAATCACTAGTTCATTGTTCTGGAACTTTCCCTCTCAAACTTTATTTATTTATGGTTAACAAACAAATTTTTTAATGACCTTATTAACAATCTTATTGGAATCTATGCTACATCATGATACATATATTCATCTGCAATCACCCACGTATTCATTATATGTATGTCAATATCTATGATAACGTTGATTTTAGATATATGTAAGAGACAGGAACGAACTCCGTTGAGAAATGATGAAGGTATACAATAGATCACTCGAAATGATTTCTATTTATCTACATTATGATCGCTATCAATTAGATGTGCCAAGGTAGAACTAAGTATTGTTTCTATCTGGCCCTTCATAAACCATGCTGGTAGATGTTCACTTATTCGTTGGTTAAGTTGTCTGGTAGTATGCCCGATATAACTATCTCCACAGAAGAAGCTGAATTTGTAAATTCACATTGAGGAGGCCAACTGAAGTAACTTGTCCTTCATTTGAGTAGACATCGCTAGTCGACTCGAGAGAGTCAGCGCAAGATTGACTGCGTAGAATGTAGATAAATCGAAATCATTTTGAGTGATTTATCGTATACCTCCATCATTTCCCAACGGAGTTCGTTCCCATCTCTTACACATAGCTGGAGTCACCGGAATTCGTACATTTAACTCCGATTTTAGATATTTCAGGTTGTAAAGAGCTGATAAGCACTTAGTGAAATGTTTTCATATTATTCTACAGCACACATTTCTTTTGCTCTCTTCATAACAATGAAGGGGACTATATGCTTGAAGCTTTTATTCATCAATAGAACAATTAACCCAATGTTCTATATTTTAAATGCCTAAAATATTATTTCTATACAGATAAATTTAATACAGTGAATAACAGCTACTTAGTATTAAGTCATAAAGATTTCATATGAGCTGTTATCTAGTAGTAGTAGTAGTAGTAGTAGTATGTAGTAGTAGTAGTAGTAGTAGTAGTAGTAGTAGAAGGATTATCTCTTAAAACTTATTATAAAGTCGAACACATAAAAATGTCTAACATTTATTACTACAAAATTTTACCGATGAAAAAAAATTCAACTAAATTTGACGAGACTATAATCTATGGACGAAACAATCAGATTTACGATAACAGGTCTTGGATTTCGGCGCGAAATTCACTAACCCATTTGGCTAAATAGAGTCTTGGCATTATAGATGATGTCAATTCGTGATGAAAACCCTAAATTTAATTCCTAACCGTAAACATCAACTGTAAAACGTAATCCTTATTCTTCAAACTGCTTTAAATCCTTCATTTAGCCCTAGTAAATAGGTAAACACTCTCAAGGTCTTTTTGATGTCACTTAAAGGTCGTCCATAAATGATAGCCTCACTCTAAATTCTATTGATTCAATTGTATAATACACCTTTCAAGATGAAGATAAAAAATCGACCATTACAAAAGTATACAATGTTTTATTTATATTATCTTCTTATTATTTCTATACTTAAATGAATGACCAATCAGTAATCATTCAATCTATAAAACGCTTTTGACTATTACTAACATGTTACTTACTTACTTAAGCCTGTTACTCCTCGTGAAGGAGGATAGGCCGCTCATCAGCATTCTCCATCCAACCCTGTCCTGGGCAATCCTTTCCAGCTCTTTCCAGTCGTTTTTCATCTTTTACATATTTGCTTCTATTTCCCGACGTAATGTGTTCTTTGGCCTTCCTCTTTTCCGCTTCTCTTCGGGATTTCAAGTTAGGGCTTGCTTCATGATGCAGTTTGACGATTTGCATAATGTATGTCCTATTCATTTCCATCATCTTCTACTAATTTCTTCTTCAGCTATAAGCTGGTTTGTTCTCTCCTAGAGAAGGCTGATTACTAATATGTATTGCGCTAAAAATGATATGCTTTCAAATCATTTTATGTTTGATTATGCAATTTGCATGCATCTTTTGCATCATTCAATTAACTACAGTTCTGTCACAAATGTCTAGTTGAAATCATTTGTGAATTATAGAGTTTTTAATAGTACACTCTTATATTGTCTAAACATTGACTTGCTCATTTTTATCAACTTGATCATGCTTGTAAATTGTTATGCATTCTGTAATCCTCATTCTTTAAAACGTGTTATACACTTATTATCAAATATATGACAGAATAAGTATTCTAAACCTTTTCTATATAACCTAAGAATTCCTCAAGCGGAGTCGTAGATGCTCACCGCTGAGGAGTTCAGAAATAGGAAGAAACAGCCGTCCAGTGCTTTCAGGTTTTCAATGGTGGTCTAACACCAATCGATTCATGATCTCAATCAAAAACCTGATAATTTCCACAACCGTATACTGATAACTATCAATGGATAAATTTGAAAATATAGAGAATAAACAAACTAACTTACTTACTTGCTTAAGTATTTTACCCTTCGTGGAAGACTAAAGACAACCTATCAGGATTCTCTAACCAACACTGTTCTGAAAGATTCTTTCCAGTTGTTTAGAATGGACAGAGCAACAATAGTAAGTTGATAGCATATGACATATATATACAAACCAAATTCTTAATAAAAGTCAAAACACAATCTCTTATGACAATTTTAAAGTTCCTACATAATGCAGTACAGTTCTTTTGCAACATTACACGAAGTTATAATTACAATTTGTAAACTGTTCACATTAAAAAAATGTTAAAAATTGTGTTGATTTAAAAGTAATCTATTCAAAAAGAATCTATTCAAAACTAAGACAGTGGTTGGATGTGGTCAACAGGAAACCTTGAACCTAGGTTTTGTCCAATTTGGCACTTGTCAGTAAGGTGTATCTGTAGTCTTGACGGAATTGATGCTGCCTGTTGGATTCGATCCCGTGTCACCTAGCTTCACAGTCAAAGACGTTACCACTAGGCTATACCGGCAGCGACTGATCTCCTGTAGGACTGAGATGTATTCACGATTGATTGATCACTGAGTAGTGATCAATGCCATATGTTTTAGGTCTTTAGTACAAATCGAATGCTATCGAACAAGTTAGTTAATCAATTGTAAATCTTATCAAAACTAGATATTTCTCTACAAACACTTTTTTATGTACAATCATATAAAAATACATCTCTATCGATGTTTAAACAATCAGAAAGTGCCTGTTCATTTGCATTTGTTGCTCATCAGTAAACATACCATCGTTGAACAGAATATTACTTATGATGAGTAATTTGCTTTGAAATGAGTCCACAAGCTTTTAGTAAGAAATCAAACCTGATAAAGTTTAATCACATTAAGAGTGATACAATGTCATCCTCAGAAACATTTCATTAATACACCCTGATTCTTAAATAATTTCTGTATATGGGTGGCTTATGCTCCTCTACGAGGGGTAACAGGCGTAGGTAAATAAGTAAGTAATTTTTGTATATACTGAATTAATGCTGTTATCAAGCTTTTAGTTTACGCTAAAATACTTCATATCTGATAGACATTATCTATTATTGAAGGTTTAATTTTTCATCAAATTAAAATGATATAACAGAGGATAACTGTTATAACTTGTGATCGCCGATTAGAAGGCAGTGACTTATCGATCGGACTAAGGACGCGTAAAACACGTGCGAGCAGCCTAGAGTCTTGCTTGGTCCTGCTTTCCGCCTACCCCAGCCAGTTAAGTTCAGAACACCAATCTCAGCCTCTGCGATATGAATCATTATATTTCAAACATACTGAGTCTATATACCAATCACACAGACCACAACACAGCATAAAATAGAAAATAACATTTGTACAAAATTTGGCTAAATGTGGTTGTGAATGCGGGAGGCATTGACTACTCATAGTATTGGTCCATAAAACGATCCCAAAGTTACCATTCATTATGTTTCTAGGGTCATAACAATAACAATATAAATTTCTTGCTTTTCCTTAGAAGAATCATTTCACATAGATGAAATAAATGTTATCTTTAACAGTACAGTAAAGCGATTCAAACTTTTGCATTGAAACTATCTAATAATTCATATTTATCATGTTATTTGGAATAACTGAATGAAACATTTTTTTTCCATCTTATTGTACAGTTTATATTTAATCTTTATCAATAGTTGGATAGGTTGAGATTAGACATTAACACCGTTGAATGCCAGCCAGCTCAGTGGTCTAGAGGTTAAGCATTCGCACGTGAAACCGATAGGTTCTACGTTCAAATCACGCGTGCAGGATCATGGATATGCACTGATGAATAATCCTATACTTGGACGAAACGGTCATCTAATGCTTCCAGGTTCTTCATGGTTATTTAGCTTTCATATATCCATAAATTTAACTATTAAATATAACATTACCATTATTTCGATGAAATATAAAATAATAGATTCATTCATAATCTTTTAACCGACAAAAACTACTTTATTTTTTCTTTGTTCTAGTTGTATTTCCCAATATCGTGGAGTAAGATGCGACCTTTTTACACCAGAAAAAGAAGAAAACCATTTGGATCAACTGCCAATTAATGAATCAAAATTTGATTCATGCGAATCAGGTAAATTATAACAATCAGTATTTTGTCTTATTAATAAGTTTTGTTTGATCAATAGTTGAAAGCATCAAGTTACTTTTTAGAACCAGATAGTCACAATTGATTGATCACTGTGTGGTGATCAATGTCATGTATGTCTAGTCCTTATTTAGTGCAGATCGAATGCTATCGACCACGTTGCAATGTGGCCACCAGTCTAGGTGACTCGACACTGTGTGGACTATATATTGAGATTAGATGGTGGTTGGAGGTAGTCGATAGGAAACCCTGGACCCGGGTTTCGTGCTACTTGATGCTCGTCAGCAAGATGTACCTGTAATCAATTGTGATCACATCTCAGTCCTACAGGAGGTCAGCCGCGGCCCAGACAGCTAAGTGGTAGCGTCTCTGACTGTGAAGCTGGGTGACATGGGATCGAATCCTCGAGGGAGCACCAGTTCCCTCGAGATTTGAGGTACACCTTACTGACGAGTGCCAAGTAGCACAAAACCCGTGTCCAGGGTTTTCTGTCGACTACCTCCAACCGCCATCTAGAACCAGATCGTGAATAACTCAGTCCATTAAGCGGTAATCAAATGAATACTTTGATGTGAATAACTTTGAAAAATAAGATAGCTGAATATCAGACAGGCGAATATGGTTGAAACGATAGACTCAGATTTTGTCTCAAGTAGAATGTATAATTAATGCATATCTGAAGTCTTTAGTGAACAACTATTGTTTATAGTGTTTAAACTCAGTTAACTTGGTGTTTTCCTTCAATATAAAGTGCCCCCAAATAATCACTTCTTATCTCTACTTCTATATTTTTTATCACATCATCTGGGTTTGAATTTTATATTACCGAATAACTACAACTAGAGAGACACCTAATCCCAAGCAGTATGAAGCGCCCGCTTCGTCTCAGTTTGAGATTCTTCAGCAATTCATATCCACGCTAAAATTAATGACTGAGGCCAGAGTTTTGAGCTTAAAATACAAGTGGGTCACATTCTCGATAAATTAAGTTAATATACAGTAATTTTAATTAATTCTCAACGACTATTACATTGAATGTATAATTAAAATTTATATACAGAACTTAATCTATCCTCGGTAATTCGGAATCTACTGAATATCGAATAAGCTTAAACTGCCATCTATTCTGAAGCAACTTCTGATCAAATCTATTATACCATCGTCCATCATTGTCTTCAGTGAGTTACTATCTCACAACAAACCTGGTTGAACTTCACTGGTCACGGCTTCTCACCAGAACTCCAGTAAATACCTTATGAAGCCAGTCACTAGTGAGCAGATGATGATGATTATTATCATAATTAGGGTTTTGTGTAGATTTTAGTAATTTCATAGTTGATCTCATGAATTGATTAAAGCTATGGAAAACCTGGAAGCACTGAACGACAGTGTGCATCCACGATCTCGCATATGGGATTTGAACCCATAACCTTTGGACTCACATGCGAACGCTTAATCTCTAGACCACTAGGCCGGCATCCAAGGATGTTAATGTCTAACTTCAACCAATTCATGAAATGACGACATCGTCCACCATTGTCTTCAGTGAGTTACTATCTCACAACTTATTCCACTTTTGGAGAAGGATAGAAAACTATCTATTTAATAAAGAAGGTTGATACTACGATGCCATCCACTATATCTTATTTTATACTGTAACATTTCAAAGTAAAAGACACTCGTAAGTTACAAGCATTGGATTATAAATATGTACGAATCGTTGTTTTAATGTAAATTAACGACTTAGAATGTAATGTCGGTATCAATCCCGAAATTGTTCTCTATAATTTCAAATAAATTAAACATTGGATAGGAAGTTAATAACAAATATATTATAGGGATATCTCAATGATTGAGATCATGAAACGATTGATGTTAGACTACCATTGAAAACCTGCAAGCACTGTACGATCCGTTCGTCCTACTGTAGGACACCTCAGCAATGCTCATTCACGATCCCGCTTGCTGGGTTTGAGTTATTTTCATCCCAATCTATTCAATTAATAACTTCATAACTTAATCTTCTTAAAGTTGGTATTATTTATGGTGAAGGAGAACGCAATTGGGGAAATTACAGAGTTACTTGATAAAATAGAAGAACCATACACTAATACTTAATTTGCAAAATGTTCATTAATTGTCTCAGACTTCATTATTCCTACATTCCCATACTAATTACTACCTATTTCCTTTCTTTCCTTCTTGTTCTTCACAATCTTTAACTGCCAGACATTATAATATTCCTGACTAGTGTTATATACTACTTATATCAATATAAGTAACACACGCTACATGATTATTATTTCTTCTTGTTTGCTTTCTTTATATTCATTTCTTTTTTCGGTAGTTCAATTTAATTTAACACCTTAACTAAATGAACATCTGTTCTATATCATACATTGTATGTAACTAAATGATTGACTTACGGCTATTGGTAAAATAAAAATAAAAATCTTTATAGGTTACAAGATAAATCGTTATTCCTATATCATGAAAAGTATCAATAATGTTTTCTTCAAAACGATTACATTCAATTATAAATTCATGTAGATCAGCTAGAAGGATTCATATGAATTACTTTTAAATAATGAGAAAGTTATACTGATGTTAGATTCTCTAAACTGCCAACGGAGAATAGGCCGACGACCAGCATTCTCTGACCATTCTGTCCTGGGACTTCCTTTCTATTTCTATTCAATTATTGTTCATTCATCTCATGTCTGTCTTCATTTCTCGGTGTAATGTGTACTTTGATCTCCCTCTACTCCTTTGGCCTTGAAGATTCCAAGTAAGGGCTTGCCTTGTGACACAGTTGGGTGATTCCCTCAATGTATGTCCTAGCCACTTCCAGCGCTTCTTCCTGATTTCTTCCTCCGTTGGAATCTGGTTCGTCCTCTCCAACACTAGGTTGTTGCTAATAGTGTCTGGTCAACGGATCCGAGGTATTTTACATAGAAAACCGTTACTAAACACTTGTATCTTCTGAATGATGGCTTTCATATTTCTCCAAGTTTCCACCTCATACAGTAGAACTGTCTTGACATTTGTATTGAAAATTCTGACTTTGGTGTTGGTTAACAGATAGTTGTTTTGAGTTCCAGGTGTTCTTGAATCGTAGATATGCTGCTTTTGCTTTGCCGATCCACGCCATCACGAAAACACTTCATCTCACTAAATTCAATCGTTTATGAATGCACAACTTATCTATTATACTGTTTAGCTATTCTTATACTTATTGAGCCGTCATTTAATAATCTTTTCTAAAATTTATTGATTACTAGATAAATGATTACTATTTATGAAAGAAATAAAGTCGTTTACTCAGGACCTATCGTAGATGCGCACCGATGAATAGTCCCGCAATAGGACGAAACGGCCGTTCAGTGCTTCCAGGTTTTCCATGGTGGTCTAGCTTCAGCTGACTCATGATCTTAACCATTGAATTTACGATAATATCCACAAAACCCATCTGATATAAAATTAAAATTACTTACCAGACTAAATTAAAATAAAATTTGTCCTGATAAATCAATTTTTATCACTCAAATAGGCTAACCAATGATTGTTTAACTTGTTCATATCAAATGTCATCAAAATGTGTAGACAGTATTGAAAGTATTAATTACTTTCACCCCTTGTTGAAGTGCATAAGCATTCTCCGTTCAACCCTGTTCTGGACAATCCTTCCCAATTTTTATTCATCCTTTTCATGTCTGCTTCCAATTATTGGTGTAGTACATTCTTTGACCTTACTCTTTTCCGTTTCCCTTCAGGATTACGATTTAGCGCTTATCTCATGATGTAGTTTGATGATTTGCGTAGTGTATGTCCTATCCATATCCATCGTCTTTTCCTAATTTCCTCTTCATCTAGAAGCTGGTTTGTTTCCTTCCACAGTAGTTTGTTGCTGATGGTATATATTGGGTATCTAGCGTAGACAATTGTTTATAAATATTTGTACCTTTTTTGATGATGGTTGTATTAGTTCTCCTAGTTTCAACTTCATACAGTAGTAGAACAGTTTTGACATTCGTATTGAAGATTCTGACTTTGGTATTAGTTGACAGACAGTTGTTTTGAGTTCCAGATGTTCCTTAATTACTTTTTTTTTACTGTAACTAACATAAAAAATATGTCAATCTTTTGGATTATATACATTGACCATATATTCAAATAAAAGAACTAATTCAAATTTATCATCTTGAACATTAAATGATGTATGTTTCTTTAACTTCAAAACTGATTAAGTTGTTTATGTCAATCATATGCTAGTTTTTGCAGTACTTAGTTCGACAATAAAGTACACTTTTAAAATAATCACAAATTGTAGACACCTTGTTTTTTCTAGCTATTTGTATTGTGAAAGACTATGAACAGGTAATTTAAATCAAAACTAATAATGTACATATTTCAAAAGGGGTTTTATGAAGATTTCAGTAATTTCAATAGTTGAAATCATGAATCAATTAAAGCTAGAGCACCATGGAAAACCTGAAGTCATTGAACAGCCATTTCGTTCTAGTATGGGACTCCCCAGCAGTGCACATCTACTATAGGTCCTCGATTCGAATCTCCCGGGGGGGGGGCGGGATCGTGGATGCGCACTGATGAGGAGTCCCATACTAGGACGAATCGGCCGTCCAGTGCTTCCAAATTTTCCATGGTGGTCTAGCTTCAAATGACTCATGGTTTCAACTATTGAGAGTATATATTTCACTCGTAAATAAAAAAAATATTTCCCTTATATTAGTCTAACCTATAAATTTGAAACAGTTTCTATATATTTCATTTCAACTGTCATATATATAAAGTACAACTTGGAGACAAGTACATGAACATGTACCCGGTGAATGAGTTATATTATAAATTACCTCTAAGAAAAAGATAGATTCTTTGGTTAATTTCAGTTTTCCATAATTCTACAGTTAAAATGAGATATTACAGAAAAGGATGAATAGTAACTGGAAAAGATTGTCCAGGACAGA